ACCTTTCTCTCTCTCTAAAACCCTAATCCCACTCTATGCTTGTCTCAGGCACAGTCATCATCGATAGAGATCGATGATCGCCTCTCCGTCAGACTCTCTTCCCCGTTCTCAATCGCACTTGAAACCCTCCAGGGACTAATCGAGTAAGATTTTCTCTAGGTTCCCCCAACTTTCTCACCAACCAAACGCACTCTGATGTCTTTTTCTTCGTTTTGATTTTGCAGATATAATTTTACGGACATCGGTCTGCTACGACGCGCGATGACTCACTCTTCGTACTCGGAAGAGAACAACAGAGCTCTGAGCATTTTGGGCGAGAGTGTGATCGAGACTTGGGTTTCGCTTCGGCAACTGACCAAAGACATTGACGTTTCGCCGCAAGATCTGAACACTCTGATATCGGAGGTATCGGAAGTGGAGACGTCGTGCGCCGTTGATGGAATGAAGTTGAAGTTGCAGAACATAGTTAGGGTTTCGCCGAAAACTGATCCGTCGACTCCATCGGTGGTTTGTGGTGCTTTCCGGGCGATGTTTGGGGCTATTGCGGTGGATACAGGAAAGGCAGATGTGGGTGGGAGCAAATTCGGAAGTGTTCATGAGAAATTTGGAAGAGCTCGTGCAGTGTGAGTTGAAATCAATCTATCTAACTATCATCACTATGCTATAATAGGACTATCTTATTGATAGGGTTTTGTGATTATGCATAAAATGTTGCTTAATGCTTGGCTGAATTGAGGTTATGAGTGATGTTTTGTGAAGAACACTTGCTTCTGTGATGCAGTATAATTGTACAGTCTAGTATATGGTAATCTGAGTGGAGATATGTAATTAAGGATGGTGGTTAATGATGCTTTGTGATATGTATTTCTGTGGCTTTATGTTAAAATTTGTGTCTTTTTAGCAGTAATATTGTGCTAAATTTGTTCAAGTTTGTTGGGGTAGGGTGGAGAGTTTCAGAGCAATTTCTGACTAGTTTGTCATGGTACAGTCAAGGATCAAAATTTTATTTTGAAATGGTTGAAACTTTTTTATTTTCGAAAAGACCGAAACGGATGAGTGATGGGATTAAAATTTTGAGATGTTTTGACCAGTTTTCACATTGTTCGGAATGTTTTAATATGTTTTAGTGTATTTCAACTAATATTTCAAAATATTTTAGAAATAAATTCTTAATTTTTTTCTTTTTTTTAATTATATATTTGAAATGTTTTTGAAAAGTGATTAAAACAAGACACCAAAATAAAATTTTGATCCCGATGAGAATTCATATTAGATAACTAATTCATATCTATTGGTATGTATGTATTTGAGAACCAAATATGTTCCGTGGTGGATGGTCAAAAACGAATGAAACCTTGGAAAACCGACTTATAGTATTAATTATTTATTGGTAAGGAAAATTATTTATATTTGTGCACACACATAGGGGTGGGCACTAACTCCGACGGAGTCGGAACCATGAATTCTGACTCTTGACTATTGTCGGAATAATCTTTTGCCTCCAACTCCGCCCCAATTCCGATTGGCAAAGTTAGATCGGAGTTTCAAATTCTGTTTACAATTCACTATCGAGTCTTCTGTTCAAGCTTCACCGTCGACGACAGTTTCTCCTTCTCCAGATGTCAGAGATGAGATGAGAGAGAGTTGAGAGTGAGAGAAAAATGTGGTGTATGGAGGCGTAACAGGCGTTAGGGTTTGATAATAATATTTATATATTATAATTAAAATAAAATTATTAATAAATAGTTAGAGTTGGATGTTTTTTAGAATAGGTTTTGGACTCCGTCTACGAACAGAATTTTCCACTGTCCTCCGAATTCAACTCTGACTTTGACGGAGGCGAAATCGGTTTGGAGTTGGAGTCCGTGGTAGATTTTCAAATAGTTGCATACTCTTACACACATATGTGTTTACGTATATATATTACATGAATCTGAGTGTTCCCAAATCTTGTAGTGGCAAGAGTTTAGTGTATTGAGCTGTCCGTTCGCATGAATCATACTGGGAATATTATCTTACTAGTTGCAAAACCAAAGCTTTGGAGCTTTCTTTCGATAGGTTGGGTATAATCCGTGATCTGTTTGTGGAAGAAATATGTGTTCTACTCACTTCTAAGTATTGTTATAGTGCAGAAAATTTTGAGCAAGTTTTTTCACCAACAGAAGGAATAGATCATTTCATTTTACTCTACTTTTTTGTGTTTATTAACTATTGTCAGTAGTAGATGTTTGAGTGTATGATTGTGAGTAGAATTTGAGGCCACACAGAATTATTGCAATCTAAAATTTAGGGTATTGTCAAGAAAAAAGGGGAACGAACTAGAATTTCGTGATTAAGTAGGTTCTACACTTCATTGGGTTGTGATTTGATTGATTGAATAGTTTTTTCTTTTTTTTTTTTGGACTAAATTCACTTTGCACCTTAAAAGATTTTTCGATTCTCAATTTGTACTCTCAAACATTAAAAATTTTAATGTTTGCACTCAATGATCTGAATTGGTAGCAATGTGGACTTGACTTAACATGCTGTTTAGTATTTCGCCATAAATTGAACACGGGAGGTGCAAGTGTTTCGGGTATGAGAATGAAGTATGTTTATCATTACAGATTTTCGTTTGTGATCAATTTGTAACCGTTTTGTGTATTGAAAATAGAGTTTGATTTTAATCAGATAGAGGGTAACTCTATCATATGAAGCTTATGTGAAACATTAACGGTCTGTGAATTTATATATAAACTCATGCTTAAAGCATTTGCAATTTATATGGTTCAATTTATTACGAAAAATTGAACAGGAGTGTGAGTAAGATTCACATTACTATCAATTTATAAAATTTTGAGTATAAATTGAGTTTTTAAGGTTTGAAGTTACAAATTAAGAATCAAAGTATCTTTCGGGCTACAAAACAAGATTAACCCCCTGTCCCCCTCTTTTTTATTTTATTTTTATTGTTTTTGTGTTTCGCACAATAATCTTTCAGTTGGACATTGGTTTTCTGTGTCTTTGGATGTTGGATGATCTCTTTCTATGTGGTCCTATGATACAACTAAAAAACTTTTAGGGACGAATGAACATGACATTTTCTTCATATTGGAGGAGTGTTTCAATATCATCCCTCTGTTTTTTGGCCCAAAAAAATGTGTCGTGCATACATTCTTTTTTTTATTTAATCATTTTTTTAATCAATGATTATTTATGATGCACAAAATTGATTATGTATAATCAAATTAGTCGGGTATGTGATGTAAAATAATTAATAATAAAAGACAAAAAATGTATAGTTGAGTTTGGGTGACCTAATTACAGAAGGCGACAACGGTAGTTGGAGAATTTTAGGAAATATAAGGTAGTAGGAGGGAGAGGGAGAGATAGAGCAAAAGTACTCTCAAGGTGAAGTGTGTGAGATTTGCCTTTGTGTAAAGGGATTTATAATTTATAGGCACAGAACCCTAGATATGGAGGTAACATGAAGATCAAGTTACTAATTTATCGAAAAAAATAACTATAATTGGGAATGAACACCATCTTAGAGTAATAGTTATTTCGATTATTGTTCTCTCACGTGCGTTAACTCTTCCTAAACTCTTGAGCTTGGGACTAGACAGAAGTAATGAGCAAAATTTCGTCTGTCTTTTTTATGATTAAGACTCAACTCAAGAATTAGATTCAAACCTAATATAAATCTGGGCTCCTCAATTATAGTTTATCGAATTTGAAAATCAACAATCTAGATTGGAGCGATCAATCTTTTTTTTGGGTAGTTTGCTTCACTTTCTATTAAATGGTTCGAGTTATCAAAACAATTTCATTGTTTGTGGCGTAAGACTGTATTAGTATAATGCTTTTTATTGTGCCAATCTCGTATCCTTCATAATTATTTTCAGTCAGTGTTATATAATTCACCCGTTATTGAAATTAAAAAGAAAACAGAAAATAAAAGTTTAGTGGGCAAAATGAATTTAGTTTTGTGGATTTATTCGTTTGTTATATAACGAAAAATTACACAAAAGTGACTGATTTTATGGTTTATATAATTTAATCGAAAATTATTTACATTTGTTATGTCAAAAATTTACCCAAATGCTGAAAAGAACCCCTAAAAACAAGTCAACTGCGATCAAATCCAAGTCCTCCAAAAAGAAAGAAACATGTTTCCTTTACTTCCTCACTCTTAACAAATAATATTTTCCATCGGCCGGAGAGAGAGAATGAGAGACAGAGTGCAAAGAGAAAGAAAATCCCAATCAAAGTCCACCGAAAATGCATTTTCGTCTATTCATTTTCTTCATCTTCCTCGTCCTCAACCTCTACTGTCCCTGTCAGGTACGTACTCAGTTGCAGACCTTTCTCTCTCTCTAAAACCTTAATTACACTCTATGCTTGTCTCAGGCACAGTCATTATCGATAGAGATCGATGATCGCCTCTCCTTCAGACTCTCTTCCCCGTTCTCAATAGCCCTTAAAACCCTCCAGGGACTAATCGAGTAAGATTTTTCTCTTTGTTTCTGTTGGTACAAATTCTTGCACAATTCAAGGATTCTGACGGATTAGGGTTAACCTTGGGCGACCCCCAATATTATTTACCTTTCGGTGCTCGTGTGAAACTTTGTCCACATCAACTAAAAGTCGTCTCCTCCTGATCATATAAGCCTTGGCCTCAATGGAGAAGGTACCCATTGAGGCCAAGGCCTTATATGGCAGGAAAAAGACGACTTGTAATCAAGTGGTTAGTGGGTACCTCATCTTTTGAGGTCAAGGACTTATATGGCAGGGAAAAATGACTCTCGATCGATGGAGGGACAATGAGAGGTAAAGACTATTGGGGGATCACACCAAAGGGGGTCACTAAAGGGTTAACCTAGGCCGGCCAGAAACCTTGAGTTGTGCAAGAATTTGTACAAATAGTTTCCCCCAACTTTCTCACCAACCAAACACTCTCTGATGCTGCGCTTTGATTTTGCAGATATAATTTTACGGACATCGGTCTGCTACGACGCGCGATGACTCACTCTTCGTACTCGGAAGAGAACAACAGAGCTCTGAGCATTTTGGGCGAGAGTGTGATCGAGACTTGGGTTTCGCTTCGGCAGCTGACCAAAGACATTGACGTTTCGCCGAAAGATCTGAACAGTCTGATATCGGAGGTATCGGAAGTGGAGACGTCGTGCGCCGTTGATGGAATGAAGTTGAAGTTGAAGTTGCAGAACATAGTTAGGGTTTCGCCGAAAACTGATCCGTCGACTCCATCGGTGGTTTGTGGTGCTTTCCGGGCGATGTTTGGGGCTATTGCGGTGGATACAGGAAGGGCAGATATGGGTGGGAGCAAATTCGGAAGTGTTCATGAGCAATGTGAGTTGAAATCAATCTATCTATCTATCATCACTATGCTATAATATGACTATCTTATTGATGGGGTTTTGTGATTATGCATAAAATGTTGCTTAATGCTTGGCTGAATTGAGATTATGAGTGATGTTTTAGGTGAAGAACACCTTCTTTTTTTTTTGGCGGGAGCGGGAGGGGGAGGGGTGAAGGGCTCGAACCCTTTACCTCAAAAAGGCAAAGAGGTAAGGAATGCCCTTGGTTTTAGGTGAAGAACACTTGCTTCTGTGATGCAGTCTGATTGTACAGTCTAGTATATGGTAATCTGAGAGGAGATATGTAAGTAAGGATGGTGGTTAATGATCCTTCGTGATATGTATTTGTGTGGTTTATGTTAAAATTTGTGTCTTTTTAGCAGTAATATCGTGCTAAATTTGTTCAAGTTTTTTGAGGGAGGGTGGAGAATTTCAGAGCAATTTCTGATTAGTTTTTCATGGTTCGGGATCAAAATTTTGTTTCAAAATAGTTGAAACGTTTCTGTTTTCAAGAGGACCGAAATGAATGAGTGATGAGATCAAATTAATAATATTTTGAGATGTTTCGACATGTTTTCACATTGTTCAGAATGTTTTGAGATGTTTTGGTGTATTTCAACTAATATTTTAGAAATAAATTCTTAATTTTTTTCTTTGTTTTTATTAGGAATCTCCATGAATAGGATTAAACCTTATCCCATGGTATTTACATGAGGTTCTCTTTCATATTCTTAAGAAAATCCTTGAGAGCGCTTAATTGTTTCATGATTTATGTTTCATCTTTCGTTTTTTTTTTCATTTGTTTCGAGAAATATATTGATAAATTCCGATTTTTTGTTTTCGAAATATTTTCGTTTTCTAAGCAATCAAAACAGGGCACCAAAACAAAATTTTGATCATTGAGTTTAGTTGACCAATGAGAATTCATATTAGATAACTAATTAATCTCTATTGGTTTCTATGTATTTGAGAACAAAATATGTTCCATGGTGGATGGTTAAAAACTAATGAAACCTTGGAAAACCCACTTATAGTACTAATTATTTATTGGTAAGGTAAATTATTTATATTTATGCACACACATAGGGGTGGGAACCGACTCGGACGGAATCAGAACCATGAATTCTGACTCTAACTATTGTCAGAATAATTTTTTGCCTCCGACTCGGCTCTGATTCTGATTGGCGGAGTCAGATCAGAGTTTTGAATTTGGGCCAATTTTTACTCTGTTGATATTTGGGGATTTAGGGTTCCATTTTTGGCTAATAGTTGCAGAAGTGAAGAACGAGAGAGAGAGAATGAGACAACAAAGAACGAGATAGAAAAAGGCTTACCAGAAAGGCTTCACAGTTGTCATCTGTTCAGACTTTACTGTCGAGTCTTTTGTTCAAGCTTCACCGTCGACGACATTAAGTTCTCCTTCTTCAGATGGCATAGATGAGAGTGACGAAGGCGGAATCGGTTCGGAGTTGAAGTCAGTGTTAGATTTTTAGATAGTTGCACACCCTTACACACACACACATATATATATATATTACGTGAATCTGAGTGTTCCCAAATCTTGTAGTGGTGAGAGTTTGGTGTATTGAGCTGTCCTTTCGCATGAATCTTACTGGGAATATTATCTTACTAGTTGCAAAAACAAAGCTTTGGAGCTTTCTTTTGATAGGTTCGATATAATCCGCGATGTGTGTGTGGAAGAAATATGTGTTCTACTCACTTGTAAGTATTGTTATAGTGGAGAAAATTTTGAGCAAGTTTTTTCACCAACAGAAGGAATAGATCAATTCATATTACTCTACTTTTTTGTGTTTATTAACAATTGTCAGTAGTAGTTGGTTGAGTGTATGATTGTGAGTAGAATTTGAGGTCGCAGAATTATTGCAAGCTAAAATTTAGGGTATTGTCAAGAAAAAAGGGGAACGAACTAGAATTTCGTGATTGAGTACACTCTAAACTGTAAAGCAGGTGGTCAGCTATGAGGTGAACCAGTATGAAATACTTCTTCTTTTGTGATGTATATTTGATGGGGAGACTGCTGTAAAGAAAATTATGATGCAATTGGGTCAAGTTACGACTCCATGAGGTTGATTAAAATTTTGATTCAGTAAGAATCTATTAGAATCGGTTTCATCTTTTGATACAATGGAGCCGTAAACTTCATTGGGTTGTGATTTGATTGATTGAATACTTCTTTTTTTTTTTGGGACTAATTTCACTTTGCACCTTAAAAGATTTTTCGATTCTCAATTTGTACTCTCAAACATTAAAAATTTTAGTTTGCATTCAATGATCTGAATTGGTAGCAATGTAGACTTAACCTAACATGTTGTTCAGTTTTTCGTCATAAATTGAACACGGCAAGTGCAAGTGTTTCGGATATAAAGATGAGGTATATTTAATGTTACAGATCTTCGTTTGTGATTAATTCGTACCCGTTTGTGTATTAAAAATAGAGTTTCATATGCAACTTACGTAAAACGTCAACGGTCTGTGAATTTATACATACATTCATGCATGAAGTATTTGCAATTTTCATGGTTCAATTTATGACGAAAAATTGAACACGAGTGTGAGTAAGGTTCACATTGTTACAAATTCATAAAATTAAGAGTACAAATTTAGATTTTTAATGTTTGAAATTAAAAAATCAAAGTATCTTTTGGAGTGCAAAATGAGCTTCTTCACCCCCCCCCCTTTCCCCCTTTTTTTTTTTTTTTTTAAAGTTTTGTGTTTCGCACAATAGTCTTTCTGTTGGACATTGGTTTTCTATGTCTCTGGATGTTGGATGATCTCTTTCCATGTGGTCCTATGATACAACTAAAAAAATGTCGGGAACGAATGAACATGACATTTTCTTCATATTGGAGGAGTGTTTCGATGTCGTACCTCTGTTTTTTGGCCCTTAAAAATGTGTCAAGTATACATTTTTTATTTTATTTTATTATTTTTTCAATCAATGGTTATTTATGATACATAAAGTTGAGTATGCACAATTAAATTAGTCGAGTATATAATGTAAAACAATCAATAATAAAAAATAAATATTGGATAGTTGGGTCTGGATGACCTAACCAGTGAAGGCAACAACGGTGGCCAAAAATTTTTAGAGAATATAAAATAATAGGAGAGGGAGAGAGAGAGAGTAAAAGTACTCTCGAGTTAAAGTGTGTGAAGTGTGCGAGATCTGTCTTTATGTGTAAGGGAATTTACAATTCATAGGCACAAAATCCTAGATATGATGGTAACGTGAAAATCAAATTACTAATTTATCGGAAAAAATAACTACAATTTGGGATAGACACTATCTTGGAGTAATAATTATCTTGATAATTATTCTTTCACGCGTGTTAACTCTTTTTAGACTTTTGAACTTGGGACTACACTGACGTTATGAGTTAAGTCTCGTCTGTCTTTTAATGATTTGAACTTAACTCATGAAATAGATTCAGACTTAATCTAAATCCAGTTATAGTTTATCGAATTCGAAAATCAACGATCTAGATTTTTTTTGTCACTTTACAGCGGAGGTACTGTAGTCATACCCTGTCACTTTGATAGGCTGTTGGACTTGGACATGTCCGGTTAAAACTTATAGTTGGTGGAACCTAATTGTAGGTTAAGTGTCATTTGTTTGCATACCTGCGATTTGATAAATGTCGATTTCAATGATCTACTCGGTCGGTTGTCTGTTGCTCATTTTGATGCTTGCAATCTCCAATTTTGCTGAGGTCTAGCTCCCCTGTTCTTTTTCGTGGCCTCATGAAAGAAACGTTAATGACATAAAATGAGGAGTAAATTACGCAGATAGTCCTCGAGTTATAACTCTTGTGTCAATTAAATTTTTGAATTTTTTTATTATGTTAATTCAGTTTTTGAACTCTCTAGTTATATTAATTGAGAATTTACATTTGCCTCCATCAATTTTTTTACCAGAAAGTAGTGAAATGTGTCACTCACGTGACACAAATGATTGAAATAAACTACATATATAATCTTCAAACTATGAATATTATATCAATTATGGTCTTGGATATTATTTTTTTTTTATATCAATTGAGTCCCTAAACTTTCTAATAGTGTGAACTGAGTTCTTTTGTCATTTTCTATTATATGGTCATGTAAGTGGCACACTCTAACGAAGGTATGTAGAAGGACTCAATTGATACAATCAGAGAGTTCATGTACTCAATTGACACTGGTTTAGGGGCTCAATTGATACAAAAAAATGTTTAGGAGTTTAGTTGGTATATATATATATATATATATTTATTTATTTATTTTGATTTTTTAGTATTAATTAATTTTAATATAACTCATTTAATTACTTGTATTTTGTTCATGTTCATGTTCATGCGAATAACCCAAGAATCAGTAACTAGGACTAAGACATTCTCTCTCCAATCTCAACCAAACTCCTTACTAATAATAGGTTTTCAAAATCTCAAAATTTAATCCATATGATAGTAAAAACCAAGTAAAACAATTCTTTCGTTTTATGAGGAATTCTTCAGAGTGGAACAACAATTAGGTCGCAAAGAACGATCGGACGATCACCATCAATCTTCATTATAGCTCAAAAATAATTAATTAATAAGCACTTATAGAACTGTATATTCAGATAGAATTTTGATTGATCCAAATGCAATTTGAAAACACAAATTGAATTCATTTCCAAAGAAATTAATCCTCACAGTTAGTATTCAAATCTTTTTAAAAAATAAAAGTCGATTTGACTTAAATAATTAAATCATAGCAGAATTTTAAGAAATTACATTTTAATTTCAAAATAATATTATTAAATAATCACTATATTTTAATTAATATGTATATACAAAGATATTAAATCACAATCAAATCGAGTAGTAGTATATCAATCTCTATATAAATATGTGTATAATATTTTTTTGGCTGACTTTTTAATTGGAGAAGAATCTAAATAATTTTAAAATTTTACATAAAATCTAAAAAAAAAAATTAAAATTAGAGTAGGGGCAACTAAGTTTCTAAAATTTTAATATAAAATCTAAAAAATTTTAAAATTGGAGCCCCCTTCCTAAATTCGGAGTAAATATTGAACGTAACAGTTACGTCGTATCAACAATGTTAATATGAGATAAACATCTAGTAAGAAAATTATAAAATAGAGCTCATTTCTTATCATAGAGATAATTATGTGTTACATAATTGAGCGATCATAAATTTTTATAAGACTCACTTATTAATTTTTTCATTAATAAATAAATAATTATATCATGGGATACTTTTAACGTGGTATAACGGTTATGTCCTCTATTTTTTCCTAAAGCGGCCGCTGCTTAAATTAATTATTTAGAAAACAAAAACCTAAATCCACCCTATGATTCATAGTTGCCGAACGATAATACGACATCGCAGCGCTGGCAAATAAACATCCGGGACCCACATCACATAAGATCAAATTCTTTAAGAAATGATTGGCTGTTGACACCAAAGCCTGACTTGCAACAAAGCTACAACGGCTCCATCCATACGTAATTTACCTAAATACCCTTAGGCGCCAGTTTTGGTTGTAGATGATGAGTCACGAGCCCATTACAAACACTTTATTATTACTCAGGCGGCCAGTCACTAATTGTGAAAAAGAATAAATTACATTGTGACCCCTCAATTATAATCATGGTCTCACTTTGCCACTTCACTTATTGAGTTTCTCCTATTATCTACTCAACAACTTGAATGTGTTTCATATTATTCCAAAATCTCCCTCCCCCTCCCCCCCCTCTCGAGGTTAAGCTTCTCTTTTGTTTGATTTTAATTTAAAATCTTTTACTTAATATAATATTTTATGGTCTTGTTCTAATAAAAAAAAACATCAAGATATTTTTGCACACAAAATATTTACATTTATAGTAAAATATCATTTGGCTGAATGATATTTTGCACCTCAAAAAATATTTATATGTTTAGTTTACACGTCAAAAGATTGAAGTTTTCATGTGCACTCTCAATGAGATGAGAAAAAAAAAAAGTAGTAGTGTGATTCAAAATCCAAGGTCTATTGATTTGCGCAAGGTTTTGTGTTATCTTTTTTCTATTTTTGTACATAATTACTTGTATATTGCTTAATTTTAAGTATTTTATAAAAGAAAATTATGCAATTCATTAAAATAGGTCAAATTTACTATATTTTTCTCTAATTCAAGGTGAAATATAAAAACTTTAACCTTTTAGAATATGAATTGGGAATTTAAAAATCTTTTAAAGTTCAAAATGTCATTCATTTAATATGTTTCCAATGTCTAGAATTAGGATACAATAAAGTTAATAATTATGGTTGGAGGTGTAAAGTGAGAAAAGTGATAGGTGAGAGGGCATTATAAGACCAATAATCATAATTAGGGGTATAATATGATAAATGTAATAGTTTATATGGTAATATGAGATAAGGAACATAGTTGAGGGGTTAAAGTGTAATAATTTATTCCACGTGACCGGCATTTCCAGGTCATCCTGCACCCCTCTCCTCTTTCCGTTACGGTGCTCTACAATTATATATCTCTCTCGCATGCTTCTGTCAGAGAGAGAGAGAGAGAGAGAGAGAGGGAGAGGGAGAGGGAGAGGGAGGGAGGGAGGGAGGGAGGGATAGGGTTTGTTGGAGCATCGTTGTTTCTACTATCACATAAACCCGCTGAAACCAGTCTCTCTACGCAACACATAGGGCCATGGAGGCTCGAGAATTCTCACACATAGACGCCGAATCAAACGAGGAGACATCCGAAATGCTCTTCACTAAGCGCCGTTGCGGTTATTGCATACCTTGTTTCGGTTCCTCCAACGGATCATCGCCGAATTTGAACTGGTGGAGAAGAATCCGAACACCGGAGAGGGACGACGGATCGTTCTGGGTTCGAGGGATCGGCGTCTTCAAGAAGCTGCGCGAGTGGTCGGAGATCGTCGCTGGTCCGAGATGGAAGACTTTCATACGACGATTCAATCGGAACAAGAGTGGTGTAATCAGCAGGAATGCGAAATTCCAGTACGATCCTCTGAGTTACGCGCTTAATTTCGACGAAGGGCCAGGGCAGAACGGGAATCCTGAGGAGGAGATAGATTACATCTCTCGGAATTTCTCGTCAAGGTATGCTTCGGTTCCGGTGTCCGCCAAGACGTCGATGGACCTCGGCAAGGACGATCCCACTTTCGTTTAATCGCCGCCGGTGGGTCGTCAGTGACATGGTCGATGCTAGGCTGGCTTTTGGGTGACGTTAACGGGCTTTATTACATGTCATCAGTATCTACGACTTTTTACTCTTTTATTAAAAATTTGGGTAAATCCCATTTTTCTCTTAAAGAGACAAAAAAAATTTGGTTGCTCTTGAACAATTAATTTTTTCCCATTATTCTCACAAAAAAATTAAAATGTTACAATATAATCTATCTATCTTATTTAAGTTTGGTCGTTCATCTATTGGTTAATTTAACACAAAATAGACGGACAATCAAACATAAATAAGACAATGAATTATATTGTAACGTTTTTATTTTTTTAAAGAGATAATATGAAAAAATTAATCATTTGGGGGGAGAAATTGAGAATTAATTTTATCTTTTAGGGGCAAAATGAGATTTTTTCTAAAAAATTAAAATTAAAATGAAATTGATGTTGTGTATAAATAAATAAAAAAAAAAAACAAGAGACAGAGAGGGAGAGATGTGAAGATGCGTGTAGGTTTTGAAGTACTTATTTGTTTAATATGTATGTGAGTTGGTTTCTTGTTGGGGGAATGAAGTTTGATATAGAAAGTAATTCATAGATTGGCCAAATTGTTGTTTATCCATTTTAGTGGATTTCATCTTTCTTTTTGTGGATGGTTTAGCTGTATGTTGCTGACAAATAAAGAAACGTGATAAAGAGAAAAATATCTATAATAAATATGTTACTCATTCTTACAATGAAGATTGTGCTTTTATTTTTTTTGTTCAAGGTGTTTATCGGTATTCAACGCGATAACACTATACAAATATATAATAATTCAGATATTTTAATCTAATCTATATGTCGTCTCTTTTGTGATTTGAACACATTACGTGGTGATTACTTAGACATTAATTATTATAAACCCGACTGTTGTTTCAAAAACTCGAGAGTTAGAACTCATAATTATTTAAACGTAACACACCCACAAAGTAATTCATTTTTTTTCCGTTTCACCAGATGTGGTACGGGAAATGTAATAGGAAAATTGAAAAATTATCATTTAATTTGATCAAGTTACTACTCGAACAAGTAATGTAACAAATTAAAATTATGACTCAATGTGTTCTAAAAAAATTGAGATTGATCCCAACGTTTTAAGTCCAATTAATCACAGTCGATATCATTGAGTTATATTTCGAGCTATATTTTGAGTTACCTTCTCCATAAATGCACATATATCCTTCTCCCTTCTTTTTTTTTTTTAGCTATAGGGTGCCGATTACTCTTTTGAATTATGTGCAGCCTTCGTAACTCTAACTAGTTTAAAAAAATGTTTTCTAATGAACAAGGGTGACCGAGTGTAAAAAATATCAAAGATGATACCTCTTGCTAGCAAGAAGGTAGGCTTCACCACAGCACCACCCGAATAGTTTATTCTTCTCCTTTCTTTCCAGCTATAATGTGGGATCCCTGCAAGATTTTTTCTGTGGTCAATTCAAGCAAACTTGCCCTCAAAAACAAGTGCCCAAATTAATTTGTCACGATGCAATATACAAAGGATACGTTAGATCACGACTAACATTAGCTGAGATATAAGGTGCTTCGTACATCTTGAAAATATTTACACATTAACAGCCTCGTGATGTCTGATATGTGTCTAGCTTGCACACAGAAAAACGAACATTGTCCCAACTATTTGGAGTCGGCTAAGAGCAATAGAGCATCTATGTTGGAACTTTTCTGCTGTTTACAGACTTGATATCAAGCAAAATGTCACCCACAATCCAAGGAAACCCCAAGCAATGCATGCTGTCATGACTATAAGTTGGGTGATAAGTCACATAATACCACGCCGACGACATCTTTTGTCGCTCAGGCGCCTTACAACTGTTCTCGAACCACCCTTTAGCCTCCTTGTGTAGGCTCTTAATGGACACCAAGATACGATCCTTCGTTTCTCCATATCTCCTGTTATCCCGCAGCAAATATGAAAATCTTCTCCGTAAGTTACCTGTCAGTATCTCATCTGCACTCTCTGCTCCGTAATAATTCATCAAGCTCTCCATTTTATCCAAGTACATCTCTTTGTGACTTGCAGCAGTTTCCAGGAAGGCTTTAAAACCATCCACTTCAAAATCGTGATCATATGCGTCTTGGATGATCTTCTGTGACCAAACACAATCTGGCTTTTCATGCGCTGTTGTTGATTTGATGGTGGCACGGTAAAGTTTGCCCAAAACACCTTGGGAGGTGTATGTAGGTTTGTCCCACCTCTCCATGAAATCAGGAAACTCCCTTGGTTTCAAAACCCTTGGCATCTCGGCGGGTGCTCCTGTCTTTGCAAAGTCGACAGCCATAGAGTGAAGGGTTGCCAACTGAAGGCATTTTGAACTCAAAGCCTTATCAGGTTCACGATCCGAGTGTACCAAATGTGCAGTAGAGATGATCCCCAGAGCATCATTGATCATGTAATCGACGAAAAATTTATGAATTTCCTGCATGTGATTGAAATGGGGAACAAGAGAGAATAGTTTTGAACAACATATCAATCGTTTTGTTCTATTTATGCCAGAACTTCAGTTTTAAATTACCTCTAAAGTCACATCATGATCCATTATACGCTGTCTTCGCCCAGTGTAGTCCATCGGGGTCACTGTTCGACTAGGGATGAGATTTTCATCCCAGCTCATAAAATACAAGTCACCATCTAAATCACCACCGGAGCATTCATTTGGGTGAGGCCTGTGAATCACATCATTATTGTTAATTGGTTACATAGAAATCATCATTAAGACTACTTTAATCCATATTGCAAAGAAAAAGGATCAACTTGTCCTACCCCATATTGTTTCATTTTATATGAGTGATTAAATAAAAGTCAGAGCTGCATCCCATTCTCTGTCGAGAACAAAAAGTTACCACCCAGAGAAGAAATTTTTTTTGTTTATTGTTTTTTTTTTTTTGGTGCTTTGGGGGGGTTGTAATTGGCCGCTTTCAAAATGATTTATAACAGATAGAGGCAATAGAATAGAAAGTATAGTTTTGAGAAGTGCTCCATACCTTTCTCCTTTCTGAGGGAAAATAATGCAATCCACCACACCTTTTTCCTCTAATGCCACCTCATACACAGCCTCGAGGACTCTGATATCTCCTGGGTGAAGACAAGGGTTTCTTGTGACTACTACCTTCCCTACCACTATAGCAGTCGTCTCATCCACCTTCTGGAAGAAAATCTGCTCACCACATTGTCGCTCCACCTTAGTCATGGTTGTCCGGAGGTAAACCTGACCATAATTCAAAGTGCCTGTTTCATCCAAGCATCCAATGAGGATGCGGCCCTTGGGGACGTATATTCGGCATCTGCTTCTTAGATCAGACAGTAGGTTCTCATGATGAGATTGAAGCATTATTGAGAGGTAGGGTTCTGCATTCGGCTCGTAACCTTGAAGCAACATCTTCGCCATAATGCTTTTAATTTCACCCCCTCCCATACTCTCCAAAACATCTAATGCTGCCCCTCTGCATTTCAACATTTTGTGCAGAAGTTGGAGTTGCTCATCTTGCATTGCCTCAAAAACTTTGTCCTCCACTCCCAAGGTAGATAAAAGGGTAACAATCTCCCGGTTCAAATAGCAAGGCATGGAATCGCTCCACTTAGTGACATTCAGCATCCTGTTGTCTGATTCAAATTTAAGCATACTGCCACGTAAAGATAGCTTTCTGAAGGAATTACGATCAATAGCTATGATACCTTTATAGCCCCCATATCGAATTTGAAATGCTGATGGAGTATGATTCAGTCCACACTTTTGAGCAATTTGCCTAGCAAAAGTGAGGGAAATCTTTCCAATGCCATCAGAGAAGCAGTATCCAACACCATCAGATATCACTTCAACATCAGGAATAACCTCAACCTGTTGCGCGGGGACTTCCAGAGTCTGCACAGAAGAGCTAAATAATTGACCCATCCTTGCAGCACATTTTGACACACTGCGGATCTTGTTGAAGCAGCCCATCCACTCTCTGATATCCTCCGCTCTCACATGCTCATTAGAAGCAAACATCCAAACAGCATTTGAACGGAGTTGACTGGCCGAGAATGCCAGAAATTGAAACCTTTTGGTCCCTATCACAATCCCCTCCCTAAGAATAGACAAAATCCTACTGTATATATTAGTTCTATAAGGCTTCGAAAAGATACCTTGCTGAACACCTGTGGAAATAGCCTGAGAAGGAAGCTTACCCCAATCTTCTTCAACAAAAGTTACTCTCAAAAAATCTGACGCATATGAAGCAAAGTTCTTCACAATGTAATTGGAGGATTCAAGCTCAGGACCCAAGCAATAAATCTTGGACGGTGTAACGAGAACTCGGTGGCAACTCATTATGTTATTACTTGTTATTTTGCTGTGAGATGAAGAAGGAAGATTCTTACCTTTTTTACCGAGAATATGCAATCGGGTTTTGATAAATGATACAGGATCATAACAAGTCAACTTCAGCTTATGCATTTTCTGAAGCACCGTCATTGCAGTGTCTATGTCTACCCTGCTAAGGATCTCAATCAGATCATCATTAACTGCAGCAATACTAATCTTTTGAGTGTGAACAAGGGAGTTCAGCTGGAAAAGGATCTCATATGCCACCTTAGAATCGGAATGGTATCTTACAAGTGGAACAACCTCAGATGCAGAATAAAATTCTTCCCCATCTTCCATAAAAAGTTCAACTAATTCTTTCTTGACATAGGGCAAACTGTTCAAGATGTCTAAAGCTGACAATCCTTCTTCAATCTCCCAACACAGTGAAGATGATTGCCCAATGGACTTCACACTGGAAAAATCTGTGGTGCGAACCCAAAGGAACTCAAAATCTTCCTTACAAATATGGTATCGGTCAGCGCTAAACTTTGAAGCGACGTTTGATCCAGAAATTTTTTGGTACATCTTTGGCGTATGTTTGAGCTGAAAAATAATAGAGCTCAAAATCAACTAAAATATCTCAAAATAGTTTGTTTAATGTAAACTCTAGCTTAGAAGACAGTTGATAACATATTGAGCCGAGAGACTACTTTCTTTCCGAACATCCCCCAGAGACTACTAAACAGGAAATTTATTAACAGAAAGATGAAGTTCTCAGCTGGTACGTCCAATTTATAGAAAAAAATAAACTCATTTGAAATTAAACAAGCTCCATGGACTATGAACATAATTGTCATACAGCATTCCTTAGCAAAGAGTGAAAAATATTTGACCTTGTTAAGCTTTGCTCTACAAAAACAATTATGATCATAGGGTAACATATTCTTCCAAGTCTATTTTTCAAGAACATTTTTTTTTTTTCCATTTGGATGAGTGAGTATACTGCAGGCTTCATACCTAACTTCATTCCAGATTCTTAATCTGACACCCAGACACAGGGGCAGAGCAACATGGCGTACTGTGGGGTCAGTTGCCCCCACTCACTTTGTTTG